ACTGTATGTCTGGCGCGACTGTTGCGATGAATGAAATTAAAATGAAAAAAAGCCCAGACCAACTAACTTGAATAACGGTTATGGGTTTCCTTATACGTGTACAAGACGCTTGGCGTGCAGAGACGACCGTTTTAATGTAATGTTATGTCGGTGGTTGCGGTTGAGACTGCAAGGTACATCAAATTAAATCATACCGAGTGGAATGCAGACGAGACTGCGGCGAATAAGGCACAAGTATGGCACTAAGTGAAACCGTGAGAAAGAAATGGCGAAACATAAAATAATTGCAAGCATATACAAATTAATGTAGTTATATACCAAGTCGATGGAGACATTGTTTGATTAGATTTTATTCCTTTTAAATGTCTGATTTTGATGTAAAAATGATTTAACATGTAATCACTGTATCGAACCCTACAGCGCGGTACATGATATATAACGGCCTATCAATTACACGGTTTAAATGAATTTGCATGCTGCATTCTGTAGAGACATACATTTGTGCCAACTACAAAAAAAAGGTTTAAGCGTATACAAGTACAAGATGTTATGATAATATTATATTTTACAAGACGTTAATTTAGCATATAAGTATCTTCTAAAGAACTTAATTACAATTTAGCTTTATAGTTGCATGTGTTAAAGTTTTATTTAATATTATTTTATACAATAATATTACATACAATATGGTTCTGAGCGGAAACCAGCAGGATGCAGCTGGTCGAAAGCGTTTTCCTTTAGACCATTAGGACATTGTTGGATACTTTTTCTTGAAGGAGTAAACCACAAAACGTTGAAGGGTTCAAAGTGCTTTTGCGACGTCTGTGAGTTTCACTACAGTTATTTACCACTTTCGCTGAATCTATATAATAAATATGTATACGTGTTTGTGCTAAACATATTAATAACTCTGCTTTGGGTTTTATAGGCCCAATCTCACTATCTATGACTGACCGCAAATGATATGAAAGTTTTTATTTTTCATAATGCTCCATGTGTTAAATTTGTTTTAATCGTTGTCGTATAAATGCTTTTTTTGTATAAAATAATAATTTAATGTGTGATTTAATTTAAGTGATATACCTTAATGACTTTTTTGCCAAACATTGCAATTTAGACCCAAGATTCAGTTTTTATACATATATTTCATTCTACGTTGCTTTGAAACCATCTTGACGGCTGACCATATCAACTTGGGACAAAATGGGACATAAATATATGATAGGTATAGGTAAGATGCGATCGTTTAGCACAGAAAGTGTGTTTGTGTGTGTGCGTTAATAATGACCTAACCTTCGTGTGTGTGTGTGTGTGTACTTAATATAAATGTCAGGTTGTAGCAAAAAAAAAAAATGTATACATATATTGTATAATACCTAGTAGTAATAATGATAGTAAACCAGAAAAAATCGGTAGTTGTGTGTTTAGTAGACCGCCGCATAATCGGTGTTGTGTGTCCGTGACATCATTAATAATCGCGGTAGTCCGCAAAGGTGAAAAGAAAAAAAAATAATAACAAAGGTACCGGGCAGGGTGAAAAAAAACAAGAGATTTTTTAAAAAATGACCTGTTGACGCTAAACGACAACACCTATGGCCGGATCATCGGTGCGCACAAATAAATCACTTAACGATATGTAATACCCTTAATGATCGACCGCCTACGCCCGCCTTATAGGAGCACGGAAAAAATGTATCAAGAAAAAAAAACCAAAGATAATTCATTGCCGCCGCCGTCGGAAGTCACACACACAATGGGCGAGTGTCGTGTCATCATTGAGCCCATATTACTTATACATACATCCATAATGTACAGTCGGTGTGATTTGTGTATGTGTGCGCTAACGTCGTTAACAGGGTGTTGCGAGCCGTGTGGATTTTACCCGGGTTAATGGATATCATATTTTATTATTGTACACAATATATTATTGTGTTTTGTTGAACGCGCGGTGTGCATCCACCGTTCTATACAAAATACACACTTTAGACACCGCCGCGGTTTAACAACATAATACCGACGAGACTCGTATACGATATTGTTAAAAAATGAAGAAGACGGTAGAAAAAAAAATCGCATCTTAAACGAATATAGCTTGTGCAAACGCAATCCTACGGTGGCCAACCCATGGCCACTGTATTATGTACATATTTTATATTACACATCAGGTCTATATCAGCGTATACACACATTTTTTTTTATTCATACACACTCAAAGGGAAGACGAACAAAACTCGTTTTTGGATACGGATGCGATCTTTATAACGATCATCATTCTTGTAACAAACAGACCACAGTATTACTATTATCATCATAATGGTATTTCGAATACGCGGTCGCTGGCCGTAGGTACATGGATAATATGTAACGCGTATAGTATATTTAGCGATTGTGTCATTAACCTAATACGTTTAAAAGATGCAAGTTAAGTAATACCCCTTAAAAATAAAAGCTTTGGCGTGGGTAATGTGTGTTTCAATTGTGTATACTGAAAAGTTTAATAGCAATAAAAATCAAGAATCACACAATGTCGTTTTGATGTTTACTTTTGTTAAAAATTAAAAAAAAATGTTTTACAAAGTGTAATCTGATCATGTGGATCAAACGGATATTTAACACATAACAAAAGATTGGCACAGGGTAGAAAAGGTATTTGTGCATTTATATGTTTGTGAACTTCCACCACTCTAATATGAAGGGACAAGTCATTTTTAGGGTTATTATTACTAAATAATAGTTTTTACTTGAAAATTGTGTTGTCATAAATTAAAAAAACAATAATCATTAAATAATTAAATTAATTTTATGTATTATCTTCAGCTTTATTGTCAATATAGTCGTCACTCCTGTTGTCAATAGTGTCTGATGTCGTCATTGAGAAACAACGGTCAGTTTAAGAACTTATTAAGAACCTATTAAGAACTTGAACAGTAATGATGAAAACATTATAATGAAGTTTGCGCGCCATAGATTTATGCTAAGTGTTGATTCCATTGTAACTATTTTTTAACCGAACAGCTCTCAACATTCGACAATAGTTGTAATGTACTATTTAAATAAAAATGGACTACTATGGACTACCCTTCTTCCCCTAAGCCCTTCAAATGTACAGCTCGATATTCAAAACTAGACTTCATGTACACAGCCATACAAAAGAGTATACAATAATATAATACACATCTATTTACTATTTAATTTATCGGTCAGGCTCTAAGCTATGTACAAAGAGCTAAATAGAAATCAACATCTTGGTTCAATCATCATCATTCATCAAATCTTTATACTGAAACTATTTATTATGAAAACTAACAACAATTTTGTCAAATCAATACATGGGTCGTTAATGAGACTTGATGTCAGAACTTCCTGACTGCTTAATGATAATGTCATAATTTGGCCAAAATAAATTCAAAATTCGAATGTATAAAATATCGTGACAAAATAAACTTACATATTATAACAATTTATAATTCTCAATATTTATAATGTTGAAAAAAATAAAGTTATTTACCAATAGCTACAAAATGGTTAGTAGATAACTTATTTATTGAGCCAATATGATTTAAGATTAACTTATACTTAACAGTCGAATAACAAATAACTATAATTGATACCAATATAAAAAAAAAATTAACTAGTTTACATGTTAGCAATATTACTACGCCTAATGACCTGAACAGAAAAGTATACAATAGATATTTAGGAAATGTCCTAAATATGTTTTATGTATACTTATTTGCTATAAACGACTTAAAAATATTGCTAAAACATTTTTAATATATTTTAGAAATACAAATATTTATACTCTTAAAACAAATGACAAAAAAAATCCTATTTTTGAAATGTATTTATTGAAGTCGATGTACAGTAAGTACAATTAATAAAAATGAAGGTAAACATAAGATATATGATCAGCATTAATGGAGTAACCGCAGGATTTCAAATTGAAAGGGGTTAAAGCGTTTAAAAATAAAAGTTTCCTAAGACCATATGTAAATTGGCGAGAACACCCCAAAATGAAATTTTGATTATTTTTATATACATAGTAGGTAGGTGTATACAGTATATAGTTAGAAATTCAAAATATCTCTATTGGTTCTCATCTCTTCACGTGTGTGCGCAAGAAATGACTATGTTAACGTTTTATCATAAACAAAATATAGAATTCGGGAGAGGACACAGCTATACTCAAGACTCGATTCCCTCCTTATCTCTCCTTTTCTAATCCTCGTACGGTCGCACCACCGATGGACTGATAAGACAAAGACCAAATACATAAAATGAGAATTGTAAAGTTTGCGTGTGAACATTCCGTGTGTGTAGACCATTGCTACCGACGGGCTTCTGTACGTGTCGGACTCGCACGCTGACACACACCGCACAACCACCACTTATCCGTGTATAAATCCTACAGGATGACACACCGTCACGACCGGGCGGCGGTCGCCACCATAGCCCGAGACATCCCGCTGAGGATGGATACACACTACACAGTGTGTGCCCGCTGGGCTTTATCCGTCCATCCTCGGTGGGTGTCTTAAGTCTTTACACAGTACACACACACACACACACACACACGTACACACGTACACAAAGAGATACAAACATAAAAATTGTTTTCGCAGCACGGCAGCCGAAGCCTTTTAAATGTGTTTGTTAGTATCCATAACAGAAGATAGTATTCCACCGAGCATCGATTCACACACTAAACCAAACCCACTACTATAATAGTTTCCGTTTTAAATCAAAAATAATAATATTAATAATAATAATAATATTCGTTTCCAAATGTTTAAAATAGAGTCGTCTATTTTGTTTTTTTTTTCATAATTTAATTTTTGTTTGTACACATGTAATAATAGTAATAATAATAATAATGTTATAATATATATATATATATATAAAAAAATCTAAATAAACAACGAAATCCGTAACTATACAATAATGAGCGCGTACGCTTTTTTTTTATTATTAAATTTTAATATATTTATGTTATAATTATCCCCAAAATTGCACTCCAAATAGGTTTTTTTTTAATAAAACAATTTTAATACTATTTACATTTTACACCACGAACAAATAAATTAGTTATAATTATCTATACAATAAACAACATCTTATATAATAATAAATGTACTAAATATTATGTATATATCAAACATAAATAAGCGTATCTAAAATACATACTTAGGCACGTCGACTTGTATTTACATTACACATAATAATAATAAGTACTTGAGGGATAAATTTTAATATAATAATAATACATATAAACGTTTATACATACATATAAATATATGAGAAAACACAAAAACAATTAATTGATCGTCAACAATATACAATGTTAAATAGTGTAAGAGTTATTAGTTAGAACGTTCAACTAGTTTTTAAACTAATAATAAATAAATAAAACTATGTGAATTTTTTTGAAACGGGCGAAGACGGCGAAGGCTTTCCGACAAGTGCTCGTATTTTATTCGAACAATCTGAAAAAATAAACGTAAATTAGTACAAAAATATTAAGTACAAATCCATACTTTAAATGCATACATTGCACTATTTTATAGCTAGGGCGTCTATAAACACGAGTCACGGCATTAAAAATCTATCCGATTTTAAATATATATATATTGTTTATTAAAAAAAAAAATGTTTCTACCTATCATATTCTCCTGCGGAGTTCGAGAAGTCTATATGTATTTGTATTTTGTTACTACAGTCTCAAAGTGAGCAAGTACACACTTTTTTCTGAGGTCGTATATAGCACAAAATGTCTGTTGTTTTTCACCGATGACGTTTTACACGTTATATTACGGATATAACGCGGTCTGAACGGTCATGGGGTATAACACGGTCGGGAATGAAAGTTTCTTCGAGTTTGTGTTTTAGTTTTTTCCCCTTTTTAATAAACTTTGTTAGAGTATGCGAGAAAAAAAAGAAAAACTATAAAGTACTTTAAAAGCACAGACGCGGAGACACAGCTGGACGACCGCTACTTAAAAACACTATAGCACTTTTTTCGAAATCGTAATTGACAATCTAATATTATTGACTTGACAACAAATATTATTATATTATGTGGTGCTACGTATCGATATAGGGTCTACTCGGTCGACAATCGAGATTGTAAAATAAAATCTTTACGCATGACGGAAATACCTGCCGGTCGGCGGCAACCGATCGGTTGGGACACGAATGATGTCTATAATAATATATTATTAAAAAAAAACATAATATGGATATACCTGCGCTGCCGTATATTATTCAAATGCGTTTATAATACACTCTCGGGTGTGCACAATGCGCGCAGAGACCTAACCCATTCACCGATCTCGATCTCGGCTCATCTGTCAGTGTCAACACTTCCGAGCGGCGGCGGCGCTTGGATCACTCGCTCCTCCTCCTCCCGTCACCTAGCCCGCACAAGTTTCCTTCGAATAAATTACACACACCCAAGTCCCACAATATCTATGCGTATAATATGAGTATGTAAGATATATACACGCACATAGTACGTGCATGATAAAACGACCGGGACTCGCACCGTATAGGAATAATTAGTATAGATATTTCTTCTATTAAACTCAACTCGGTTAATTTATTCACGCCGCGGCCTAAGCTATATTATATGTAGGTAGGTATAATAAGCTCATCATAACTTATGAAATGTGTATAATATGTGTAATAACACGGCGGGCACTTACCGTCTTCGATAGCGATGCCCGCGCTGCCGAGTCGACTGAGCAACGCGCGAATACCCAAGATCCTATATTATATTTTATTAGGTATTCGTGTTTCGCCATATGAGTTATAGACCTCGAAGGGTTACCGTTCATTTTATACCGGCGAAACGTAACCGTTCATTTGTTGTTGCTGCTGCTGTTGTTGTTGCTGTTGGAGCTGTTGTTGCTGTTGAGGGTGTGAAGGCCTAATTTGAAAATCATGTATTATTATATACAGTTTTTTATGTTAATGATCTCGTTGTTTTTTTTTTTTAGTTAAACAACCCAACTCACGTTTTGTAAAACGGTTTAAACGCCGTACTGGCGTCGGCCATCTGATGGTTGTTGTTGTTGTTCGTATTATTATTGTTGTTGTTGTTGTGCTGGCCGTGTTGCACAATGTTGGCGTGCTGTTGATGGTATTGCACGTCTTGTTGATGGGCCGATCTGACATCGTGCTGTTGTTGAACTTGCTGCTGCTGCTGTTGTTGCTGCTGCTGCCGGTGATAGCCGAGTTGCTGTTGCTGCTGCTGGTGGTGATGGTACCCGTTGTAACCCTGATGGCCGAATTGCTGCTGACCGGAAGAGGCGGCCGACGGTAACTTCATGTTGGGCGGGGTTTGCGGTGGCGTGTCGGTCTGCACGTCAGGATATCCGGCCATTTGCTGTGCCGACGACGACGACGAGTTGCTGTTGCCGCCATTGTAGCCGTAAAACCCGTTCGTGCCGTATCTGTTTCGCGCGAGACAAACAATAGTAATCATAATTAGCGTTTTATTGTGGTTTTCTTGTCGGGCTTCCTTATTAAGCCAGAAGCCATTATATGACATGCGTAGCAGGCGTTAACGACCGGACGACGATAACCGGCCCGTGTATGATGTATGTATACACACACATACACACACCTATCTTTTATAGACACAGCGGCTTGGATTGTCGTCGGATCGAGAAAAAAAAAATAAAGCCGACTGCTCTTACCTGGAATAGGACGATCCGGAAGGGGACAGCGACGAGTTGGGCATGGTGAATCCCGGCGATGCTAGGCTGGGGCTGACGTTAGGCCACTGGTGGCCGGGCGGTGGCGTTTTGGACGCAGCGGTATCCGCCAGCGACCATATCTTGGGCTTGGTCGGCGGCAACGGTATACCGCAGTCCTGGTGGTGGTCGCTCTGCATGCCGTGGTGCACTTTCATGTGGTGCATCTGGTCCGGGTGGTACAGGTGTTGGAGCATCGGTTTTCGGTCGTCGTCGCCGTCCGACATCACACCCGCCGTGCCCATCATGTGATCCACGTGGTTATCTATATCATGTAAAACATAAATTGGTTAGTACTTGATGATTTATAAATACATACTAAAAATACTACATCGGCATTTCAGATTGTGAATATTTTGAAAACAAGAAGTTAGTGGTTTTTTTGTTTGTTTTCTGTAGGCTAAGTATAGGCAAGTTTGTAGTTAACACGATGTTATTGTTAATACGAGACGTGCGACTTCTATACAGCCGGCGTATGCGTGATTGAGCGTTTGACGAGTCCCGGCAAATGTGTAATTGCGAATAACGCTGTCGTGAATGTATGCAAATAGGCTCACGAATTCGGGATTTTTGCCCGAGCGAATGGTGTGTACGCCGACGATTCACACGGTGTGCTCGCGCGAAACATGACATCTTTATAAGGACGCGGGAATAAATTATCATATATGTATTTTATTATCTTTCTCTGCGCGCTGTTCACGCCGAGGAGACTATCATGGGTGTGAAATGGATTGCGCGGTCGCCGTCGTGACCGGGAGATGGCCAAGATAAAGCAGGAGGAAAACCCTACCGTTTCTGTGTGTGCATCATACACATTGGTGGCGGGCGCGCACACAATGCTCCGACGGGCCGAGGCCATGAATAAATAATATTAGAACACTATATATACAAATGGGCACATCCTGGAGGCGACAATGATTCATCCGGCAGTAAATGGCCGCGTGCAGCCGACTGTATAATATTATACACACCGTGTAAGTGTATTCCCGGGAGACGAGAGATTTTTAAACGGCTGCAAAGTGTCCCTCGCCTTTGCAGTACGCGCATTATTGTTATTTGAAGAAGAAAAAAAACGCTGCCGGAGTGGCTAATACATTTAGACTCGTATAAACGATCGGAGGGCGAACGGTTTTTCATTAATAGCTTTCTAATGGTAATAAGGGCGGTGGTCTTCCGAAGGGAGAAAGCTCTTATATAATTTTCGACGACCGAGGGCTGCGACCCATTCCACAAGTGTGTCCGGGACGACGTGCCAATTATAGTAATGCGCGTTACGGTTGTTTTCCTAAAAGTCTTACACACAAATAATATTACACCCGGACTACCCTCGCGGCCGTATAATATTATGTCATGTGTATTATTGCATTGTTGAATATACCTTTTCGGTGGTCCTTGAGTTTCTCTTCGCCCATTAGAATGTCGTCTTTGTCCTTGTCCTCGGAGTCGGACGAACCGGCGTCGTCGTCGTCGTCGTCCGTTTTGTTCTTGGGCTCCCAAGTCATTTTGTTCTCTTTTTTCAACCGTCTCCGGGCGTTGGCGAACCACGTGCTCACTTGGGTCAACGTCATCTTGGTGATTATCGCCAACATGATCTTCTCGCCCTTGGTCGGATAAGGGTTCTTTTTGTGCTCGTTCAGCCACGACTTGAGCGTGGCCGTCGACTCGCGCGTGGCGTTCTTCCGCCTGGCCGCCAAGTCGTATCCCGCACTGTACCTGCAAACACGGATAAGAAATAATTAATACAAAATTCCAATGGTTTTTTACGCCAAAAATCTCCCTTGCCCAACTAAAAAAAACCTACCTACTACTATACTATATTACATGCTCGCGGAGGGCGGCGGCAGAGGGGACAACTATACATACATATATGCATGTGAGATTTATGTTCGGTACCGGTTAGATTTATGCATCCATACTTGACCCCGGGACGTAATTTATGCTCGTCGAAATATTCGTCCGCGTGCGCTTTATTATTGTATCTGTCTCCCGTGGCATCTTTTTAATATCTCCTTATGAGTGTGTGTGTGTGTTTAAATATATTTATATTTTGTGTGTATGTGCCCCCGGTTCGGCGGCCGAGCGCAAGTATCCCGTCGGGTTGTCACAACACGTCATCCGCATAAATAAATAATTATACACATAAATAGATGTATAAATATATATATATTTTTTTTTAACGGCCACTGTCTAATTTGTAATCGGTGTATTGCTCATGTACACGGCAGCCGCGATGCAGCGTTAAAACGCTTTTTAATATAGACGGTACATGAAGCATTCTAGCATAATATTGTATTGTGTAAGCACACGGATAGTAGGAAAAGGGAGGGGAGAAGTCCATTAAGTCCACGTGGCCGGAATCAATGGTCCGAAACTCGGCGCGACCAATAGCCACAATATACCTACATAATATAGGGTACCTATAGGCGAGGTATAGTTCAACAAAAGCTCGGGGTGCCTACTATATAATAATAGGGTTGTGTCGGTACGGTAACGTAAACAACGGTTCCGCGCGAAGGGTGTATTTAAGGGGGTATGGGTAGGTATATCGCGATTATATTATTATTATTATTATTATAAGCGCTTGTGTGTTATTATTGTTCTAAACGGGAAAGCATCGCGGCTAAACAATAAAATAACGAAACGAGGGAAAAAAAAATCAATGTCCTGTAAGCTCGCAGGAGTGGAACTGCCGGAATAAAAAGGCGGTCGCGGTCGTGTTTTTCTTTATATGGCCGAACGGTGTACAACCAGTGCGTGACGGCAGAGGAGGTATATAATAGCATAGCGGCGGCGGCGACGGCGGTGGCGCCGAGTAATCGATACTATCGCCGGCCATTTTGTCTTACTCTGCACTTACACAGCTATACACGCCCGCGCACTTTGGACTTACAAGCGTATTGTACAGGCAAAAAAATGCAAGTACATAATAATACTATGTATACATGTCAATCGCACGCAAGACGGGACAAACCCTGCAAAAAGCTTGTAAGCCGACAGGTGACAATTGGATACTTATATATTCGTATTCGGCTTACCCGTATGCGGCCAACGTGGAGTCGTAGTGATAGTATCCCGTAGACGGTTGAAGGCTGGCGGCGCTCGACCACATGTCCGACGATCCCGTCGAGTCTTTAAGCCCGTACGGATTGCTCTAGAAAAAAAGAGAAACATACATTATGTATATGACAACAATAATAATATAAACAAACGTTAAAAAAAAAAAAATAAGAAAACAAATAACGCGTTGACCGCTGGAACGACAATGATGTACATATATATAATACCATTATATCGGTCGTCTCGGCCAAGTATATATAGATATGTTATGTGCAGAGTTTGCACGCGAACACAATCGCGGGTCGAACCCATAAATCGATGAGACGGAAAGAGAGACGACACGATGAACGCAGGACACGCGGCGAAGGGGAGGTGTATAAGATCATGCAGGTGGTGCAGGGTAGGAGAAACTGGTCGTCGAGCTTAGTGTATGTATTATTATTATTATTATTATTTTCGTTATATCTATATAATCCTCTATATAAATGTACACAGACGCGGCAGCACGACTTACCCAGGAGGTCCGGGCCGTCAACGTCAACGTTTCATAAGCGTCATCGTCATGCTCGGTTCTAGTACATATATTATACTTTCCCTCCCACGACTATAATATTATTATATCCCATGTCCGAGCGTTGCAATAATACAAACGTAATAAACAGCACACTTTCGGTCCAAAAAAATTAATTTTCGCAGAAGAGTCAAGTGAATTGAACGGCAAACATTTTGGGCGCACAAAAAAATATATTTTGTGCGATTATTATTGTTATAGTAGGCACATGTTGTATAGGCGCATTTAAATTGATAAAACTGGTTGTCATCCGGCTATTAAAAATTAGTTTTTTATTTAATAAAACGATATAATATGCTAAAACACACATAACAGTATAATATATAATAAACGGCATTACAAGCTCAAAACAGGTTTTCTGTGTATACATAAAATGATATTTACCTTCATACCATACAAATAGTATGTACTGAACCACGGGGTCATAATAATATTATGTACAAAGCGGACGTCTGGTCGCAGACAAAATTATTATTACTCGCCTTTTAGTTTCTATTCATGTATTCGGTCGCACTCGCAATACGTTACTCGTCGTTATTCATTAACGACCACCACACTCCACAGCAGCATGTTTGGTTCGATACATTATTATTATCGGTATAAAAACAATAATCATAAAATATTAAGTAGGTTTTAGCCGCGACAGACAAACTACGTTTCCCCCGGTGGACAGAGAATGGCAACAAATCGGCATGGTCGATACAATCGCATTGATAGAAGTTGATACACGGCAAAAAAAAATACATAGTTCATAGTTGACCCAACTAAAATTAAGGTTACTATAGACACAGTAAATAATAATTTGTTTTACTATAATATACAATCTAATGTATGAAACTACTATTGTACGTCAAACTTAATAAATTCAGTATATTCATATAGAACCGATTTTCATGTCATGAAACGTTAATACGTTCAGAATCCGTTTCATTCATTATCATTTCTATACAATAATATTATACTTTCTGGTTTAGTCTTTCATACCGTGGCGTGGGTTCGATCACCCGCGCTTGTGTGGATACAACGAAATGATACGGTTTACGCGGTAACCGGTTTGTTGTAACATAATATATTGTTATACTTACGCCGAAGCGAGGATGCAAATATTTAGTGGGGACGTAGCGACGGCCGTGGATATATATTTCTATACAGTATTATATAAATACTGCCGGGGGTTAAGTGTTAGATACGACTCCCCGGGGACCGGCAAGGCGTTAAGAACTAAGCCTGCGTGCACCCTGTGGGATATGCGCTTTTAATATTTAATGTATAAACGCCGCGACTTTATAATGTGCACCGCACCCTTCGCGCGCGCATAGCAGGAGAGGAATTACACGGCGTCCCGGTTTTTGACTCGGGGTTAACCGGGATAGCGAGGGTTTCTAATGTGCATTAATATATCGTGTATATATAAATATACTCAAGTACGGGCAAGTCGACGATCCGCGAGAAAGGAAATTTCTACAAATTGTATTCGGTAGCGCGAAATCGATTGGATTCGATGCGCGATGGGATTTTTTTTTTTTTTTAGGAGTGCGAGGTGGGTGGAGTTGAAAGAGGGGAAAAGGATGTATAACGACAATGCCTGAACCGAGCTTATCATATATACTATAGTATTTGGAGCGCAAGTCGATGAAACTAATGCGCGCTTCTCGTGAACCCTAAGGTGAATGAGTAGGTACGCGTTTTTTCGCCCACTTGAGCTAATATCGATCAGTTTTCAAACAAATCTAACTCGTTCTGCCAGCGTCCAAAGATATCGGAGAACTGATCGGTCATTGGTGTACACGGACAAACTATTTAGGTATTTTTTTATGGCCGTCTTTTAGAACCGCATCCGAGCGAGACGACACGATATAATATAATATTTACACGTCATTAATGAACAAAAAAACACGGCTGCCGTGTGTACACTCTATATTATAATACATTATAAACATGCGTTCGTTTTATCTGTCGGATAGATCATCGCTCGCACTGCTGTGGTAGATATTATAAACGAAGCGACCGGAAATCCGGTGGGAAATTATAAACGTCCGTTGCGTTCCCATGATGATATGTGTGCATGGTTTTATATGGTCCGCAATTTTTTTTTTTTTTTTTACCGTCCCCTTGTAGCCGATTTTCTTGTAGGATTTTCAACGCAGCCAAACCGTCAACGCTCAAGTTATTCCTATACTCTGCTGCGCTATGTAAGCGTTACTATACCTATATAATATTATAGTCACTATTAAACGAGTCATCGTCGCCGTCGGATGTCCGTCCGCGGCCATACCGTTCTCGGATTTAATAAAAAAAAAAAAAAAAAAGGAAACCCACCGAGCGGCAAACACGGTTTAGCTTTATACATTGGTGTTTTTGCCGGTTCCCCTCCACGCCTATAAACACCCGGCACATCCCCCGGGGGCACATCCACCCGCGTTAACGATCAGTCGGGCTCACACGCACTCACACGTCCATCGGAATCGGTGAAACGTTTTTGGATTTACGACGGGACGGGCTTTTAACAACGTCACCGCCGCCGCCACGGGGGAACTCTGGTTCGCCGTGTTTGGGAAATCGCACCTGTTTGTGTTGAAGCCTTATAGCACAAGAGGGGGAGGGGCAGAGGGGTTGTAGGCAAACAGCTCGCATTTTCTATCAGAGCAATGAGTATAGGTGTACACGATATTATACAATATCCACATGAAAAGCGACGCGTATACAATCCCGCAGGGTAATCAATCGACGGGATTTCGCACAGAAAAAAAAATAAAAAATAAAACTGCAAATACACTGAACACACATTCACTTAAGTGTCGGGGGCGACAACGTTAAAAATCCCAGGGCAAAAAAAAAACATTTTGAAAAACCGAATACGCGCCCGGAGCGCGCTTTCGCGGTGTGTTTACATGCAATAAAAAAAACGTGTGTGTATGTTAAAAAAACAGAGAGCAATGGAAAAACGCCGTCGCCTTGGGGGTAAGGTGGGGTTAATAATTAACAGTGTCGTGCGCCGCAATTAAGTCGCGTGACCGTGATTTCGACATAGGTTCGAGGGGGCGTTAACCGTCCCGGGACACGTCAAAATATTATACACTTTGCAGCATATATATATGTATATGGGAAAAAAAAACAAACAACCAAAAATGGTACCAACCGTGTACATGCGGTCGTGACACAACAGAAAACACTGAAATAACCTATAGCTGATCCGTCCGTCAACGTGCGAATGCTATGGTATATAGTGCGGTTGTTGAAGTGGGAAGGGGCGTCGGCCAGCGCTATTAATTTCAATGAAGTCGGCGTCGCACAGTTAAGGGTTTGTTGATAGTACAGGCTACAGATATGGAGCGTTCATCATAGTCTGAGGAACATAATTTTTGTTCCCTAAAATGAGCGATTCACTTTACTTTTGTATTATTGTAAAAAAATAATGATACGAGTTAACCACCAAGACAGACAATGTTAGGTATATACGATAATACTGTAATTATTATTGTTGAACCTGGTAAAGTAAAAAAAAAAAAAAAGGTTCTGTTAGTATAGTAGTCCTATGTCTTGCACCTACGCATATGTTCTGTGCTACCGCATTATGTCGATTTCGCGTCAGTGACTATTGTTTTTATGCGATGCCCGTTTGTATTATAATTTGTATTCGTTTTACCTTGCTCGTCTAACAATTAGCGTCGGTTGTAAAACGAGAAATACCGACATTTAATACGATAATATTATTATGTAAAACACGGCCCCAATGGATGGCGCACATGAATTATGGTTGGACGCTAATATTATGAGCGAAGGGACGACAGGTAGAGGTGTAGGAGGAGAAGAAGCTGACGAGGAGGGGCGCACCATTAAAACCGACAACAGGTCAATATGTTGTGGGAACTCGTATTACTAGAATGCTGTGTACACATATATATACATACATGTAACTTATATACTTGTCTGTGTGTGCGCGGTCTTACACGATATTATGATTGTCCCGTATAGAGGAGGAGTGAGAGAGAACGAAGAGGAAGTACTTTGTGGCGCCAAACTTGGTCTTGGAACAATGTCACTGTGCGCGCGCGCCACTCGCACACAGTACACAATATGATATATATATATATATATATATATATATATATTGTAAAGATTGTTATTCTAGGTAGTACTTGTAAACAATTCTCTTGCTTTTCCTTGGGCTCAAAGTATAGAAACCTTTTATTCCGTAAGGATTGTGTGTGCGCGCAAGAGTGGCGGTCAGTGTATGCGAAATAAAAAATCCCTTCTCACTCGCCAAGTGTAAATCCGACGAATACGTGACTGGAAATCGTGACTAAGAAGGGTACGGAAGACGACGGGGTTGGTACAGGGCATACTTATTTCTGGGTAACCGGCGACCACGCAGTACTCAAAAGCTCTGCACGCGGTCAACCCGAAAGGTCAATTCAATTTCTCCCCTTCTTCGCATCCTCTCCGGAGCCTCTTCCGGGTGACATTATATAGACTATTTTTAAATCTTTTTTATTTTTATATACCTACTGATACGGTCCGATGGAAAAAAATAAAAACCACAGTAAAGTGCGGACGCGGTTAAGTGCGTCACGTCTACATTATTCACTCCCTTACAATTTATAATATTATTATGTAAAATATGTTGTTGTTTGGAAACGACGAGGCGTCTCGTGAAATCCAAGATGTAAAATAATTATACGAATGATGGCCAAAATCGAAATTATATTAACGAATAAAGTGTACCCATTAACGTGAACAGTTTATATAATTTTTTTTTTGGATTGTATATATTAATTTGTATTTTTTTTGCGGTTTTATTATAATACAACAATAATAACACGACGTAAAACTCCCCTAAAGCGATACCATAATGATATTATATATTATTATATCGAATATCTCAGCTTGATGCAGCGCTGTCGTTTTCGGGTACAGTGAATAAATATGGTCATAATAATATAATGGTGTAAGTATTATATCGAAAGGAACGTATCAATCAATGCATGAAACGTGACCATTATCGTATCCACTCGTTGTTGATGTAATAAAAGATGCTGCCGTCGTGTTTATATTCATCAATCGGGCTCTCCCCTCGGTTATTTTTCACACTGCACACAGTGGAGGCGTCGGCGGCGTTTACGACCCTCTCTCGCTATATTATATTATATATATACACACAATAATAATAACGTTAAGTTATATAAGCTTCTCTTTTTCGCCTTTTTCGCCCACCCTCCGCAAAATGCCATTCTCGCGCCCCGTCAATTTTCCGCTCGTTAATGAAGCCTCCACCCAGGCAATTGTGGTTCTATACACACACTCTATATTGGTATATATATATATACACAGTGCATAAAGACGAGAAAGCGGCTGCGACGATGTCGGCGGCAACGGGAGTGGTGTTCGAAATCACCACACTCCGCCCGTCGATAAATCACATCCCTTTGCCAGAGCTTTTCCACCCCCAGTATTTATACTTGATATATATATAAGTATACAAGAGCATCGGCATCATCCCCTCTCGCGCACGGTTAACCGGCGGTGGATTGATTTATGAACGTTGCACTTCGCGAGCGGCGCGCCGCCAAACTTCTCTTCCTCCCCTTCTCTCGGTCAGAATCCTTTTTATAAATATATTACCCACCACCGCGTTGGGGGTGGTCGAATAATCGAATATAATTGATACCGGATTATATAGTCAACTTGACTTATGGGCTATCGTTTAAAAGGGCCATTTAAAAAATGTTACGGGATCCGTGAAATTACATCGCTGTATACCATTTAAAAAAAAAAAAAAAAAACGTTGTTCGCGCAGCCTTTTCATCGAATAAACATGCCGCAAAAAGTCGTGTCGCAACGAAAGTGCGCCTAATTCCTTATATCAATAGAAACACATTGATTAAATACAACGGCCTACTCGATATTTTATTAACACCTTTAATAATATATAGGTATTACTGCGGATACGGACTAGGTGAAAATACAAAGAAAATAGTATCGCCTAAAAAGCTCTAATAAGAGACTTAATCAGTTGTCAGGCTTTGCTTTCAATTTAAAGTTGAACAATTATCGTTGAAATTCGTAATTTCTCACTTTTTTTGTAGTCTTATTTTTTATTTATTTTAATGATTCAGTGCTGAAAAAGAATATGTGAATTCTGAAAATTGTAAAGGGTGTTTAAATATCCATTTGACTGTATGATAGCCCCAACTTTTTTTTTTCCATTATGCATTTTTTACGAAAATTATTGGATAAAACTGCTCAAAACAAAACGACATAACTTTACATAGACTTACCAGGTGTGGGTAAAAGGACGACGTGTCGATGCTAGGGTAAGGGTTCTGGTCGGTGGACGGGTACGGGGTGTAAACGGCGGTGGCCGCGGGCGTGCTTCGGCTGGCGTAGTGCGAAGGTAGCGATGCGGCCGCGGTCAGCTGACAAGAGCACATGGCCATAGCGGACTCGGACCCTGCTCCTCCCCGGTCGGCGCCGGCGGTGCAGCACGTGCCGCAACCCGCAGCACCCATAGCATCCGGCGAAAGACCACCGGTGCCTCCACCTCCTGCGGCCAACGGCGGTGACACAGACTCTCCTGTCATGACACTCTGCAAACAACAACACAAATATTCTTTAGAACCAAGAAAAGTAATAATTCTGAATTTCCATTACAAACAGCTGTCAGCTCAAAACACATTGCATAACTATAAAATCGGAGTGACCCACGCCGTTTTCATACTTTTACATAGATATTCGACACAACAGTGCGAGACACCCTGTATGGTGCATATATATTACACCGAGAGTAGATGCAATCAGGTGAAAAAGTTGGCTGCGGTATAAGTTCAGTGTCAGATTTTGAAAACCGAGTAATAACACAATTTCGAGGCCTAGGGTATTTTTACCAAAAACACAAAAGCTCACAAGTTATTTTAATTATTCAGCCTGTCTGTTATTTTTATCAGCCCTTGCCAACATAAAATGCGAATTACCATCGAAAACTTAATATAATATGAAATAAATGTCAATGACAGCGTTTTAGCCTTCTGACGCGACGTTAATCGAAGCAAATGGATATTGCCGTGTTTGCCGATGAAAAAATATTATTTGTTTGATTAAAAAATTACAGTATAGGTATTCCGCAATAATGTACTATAATTATTTGGTATGTATAATACAAATAACTGCGATAGTTGGGCGGTACTCCCCGGATGTGCGGAGGTCGCGAATCCCACAATAATAATAATCGTTGTTATTATTTTTTTTTGTTATATGTGTTCGATCACAAAATTATAATGCATAATATCGGTTATTTTTAGTAGAAAATCAAATTCCAGAAACGCGTTGTCGTTTAGAAAACGATTTTTTTTTTTTTACAATTCCCAGAGCAAATTATAATATTATTCAGTATACACTGAACGCGCGACGCATGTTTTTAATTGGCGCTACCACTCGATACTCGTCCGGATCGAGACCGGTTGTTGTGCGAGGTGTGAACCCCAAAGCGCTTCGGTTTTTTTTTTTAATATATCAACTCGACCGCAAAAATCAATAGACCGGAATGACCAGCGGTAACAGACAATAAGGAAAATATTAAAAACTATATACACCCCACCCCATAGACCGTATATAATGACAAACCTAACGTGGTGGCGTTTCCATAAGTGCACATAACATGCTTTACGGAACGGGTGGTAAACGTGAATTCCGAAATGACCACAGTTTTATTCGGCCTACCCACTTGACCACTTACACTGGTCTTTAACCCCGTTACATAACGTTTATACTTGTATGAGGAATCTATACAAGAATTGGCACTCAGTGCCGGAGAAACCGTAGTCAATCACAATAATTTCTACTTACCGCGGTTAACATGAACATTTTCGTTTTTGATGTTCATTTGAAAACAATTAGAATTTTGAATCTCATTAGGAATTTCAGAACGCGCTTATACTATGATTTAACCTGGTCGTCTACTGGATGTGTGCAAGTCGCACGTGCAACGGCCGCCTTGGCGCGCTGTGAAAGGGGTAAATACACTAAATAGTAATATGAAATATATCTATGTTTGTATACAATATGTATATGGGTGAACACAACGAGAAATTCTCTATAATTTATACATGCAGCGTTAACAATTCATAAATATTTATAAACCTGTTTTCGTGGGCCCCCGCGCGTAAGCCTACTGCTGCTGTGCACTGTTAATTATTAAAAAATATATATACATATTATTATACTATTATAGATATATCATGCGCGATGCGTTTTTGATCCCGGTATAGATAACGGCCATTATTGTACGCGTTTATGTATGTACAATAATAATAATATTATACGTTATACATGTATTTTTTTTTTGTATTTTGCTATACGTTATACGACAGAAATATATGTAGCATAGAATTCGCTAAAATGCACTTAAGTTAATTATTAACCTTTAGTTGTTGTTACACAGTACTACACCGTCTGTTTTTATAAATAACTCATCATCACGTTACAACGTTTGCATGCAATATTAGAATAATATTATTTTAAACTGTATTGCTGCTCAAGATTATGATGAAATACTGTGTTAAACATAGTGTTATAATGTAGTTGTACAGAAATAATATTATGTTACATGATAAATAATTATTATTGTCAATATGGACGGAAAACAGAATGAAAATACACCCAACCACGAAAATTCGTCTGTTTCCTAAAATTCGCCAAACAAATATTATGTACTATTGGTGGACGTTTAAAAAATATATAATAACTGTCCCATTTGTCCGTGGGATCTTCTAAAGGAGCAAGAGAGAAAGGGAGAACTGTTGACACATTGCTTACATACTCAACGTCCCACAACAAACAAAATAATATACGAGCTTATTGTTGAGAAATAATAATATAAAGAAACGTTGACAAGGTTATCGTACTGACCGTTTTTTTTTTGTTATTATTTATTACTTATATCTAAAATATATTACATTTTTGTCTCTTAGTTACACTCCACCTCTCTTGCTCCCCTCTCCCATCTCATTCTCTGTCTCTTTTTCTCTTAACCACATGCGTTCACCGTTGTAGTTCTAAATTATTCATTTGGTCCAAATTGGTATGTCAAACAAACAATGCTTACAATGTTTCATGTTACAATATTTAGATTAAAGATTGCAAACAAAAAAATCTTTATTTTAAAATAGTAATATGTATTCTTAGATGGCGAATTAGTTTCATATATTATGCAGACAATAAAAATGTAAGTATGTACATACATAAGTCATAAAAATATAGGGGCGGTGGCCGGTGGACCAAATTTTTTTTTTTTAACTTGAAACAGTTTTTATATTTTTCGATTATATATTATGTATGTCGTCATTATTTGCACACAATTAAACAATTAGGTAATATTTCTTACATTTGATTTTAGTACATAGAATAATATATTGAATGTTAGAAAAACGTCTGAATAAAACATAGACTACTGTTGAACATTATGACCTAGAACGGAAACCGAGCCGAAAAAACAAACCAATAAAACTGTACAGATTTACCACGAATTAAGCATATTTTCGAGGAAAACAAACGCACGTGAATACAATTTGCAAGTGGTTACATTGTAGTATGTCGACAAGTCACTGAAATAGAACGAAACGGTCATTTTGTTCAAAAGCCATGGCAAACTATTATGCTTGTGCATTACAGTCACTGCGGATTGCTTATACACAACATATTCGGCCTTGCCGCAATAACATATTTTTTAAATAAAAAAACAAAACACGAACACGCCCGAGAACGTGGTTCGATAACAAAATAATAATATTGTAATTATATAGGGCCGCGAACGACTCCAAAGGTCTGTTTTCGGCAAGTTTCCTCAATGTCAGGTTTTGGTAGGTATGCGCTGATTATGGACAAATTATTATAGCGGTAGATTAGTGCTATATTATGATAATTGAGTAAAGCGTAACATTAATAATGTGCAATTAACCCGACCCGTGCAAACGTATGTAAATAAGAAATCGGCCCTTGGGGTCTTCTTAATAATCTTCGAACTTAAAGCGGAGTCTATAGAACATCAGTCATGCGTAGGAGGTGAACCGTCGATTTTCTTAACCCATCTATAACCTAACCCCGATCTAAGTATGATTTCGTGTCGTTTTTATAAAGTCGGCCATCGCAATAACATGTGCTATACTTATTAAATTTGACAAAATTTAGTTATTAACCAAACCTAACCGCTGTAATAGTTATTAAGACTGTTTATATGTGTATATGTACATTTCATGTGATATACAAAACGACGGGTTGGCAACATGAGTTTTACTTTTAAAAAAACCATAGTCCAACCCGATAATGAATAACATATTTTATTTATATAAAAGCGGCGGAAAGCATTTGCGGTAAACAACATCATTTTTAACCTAAATCTGTGTGAATATTAATAATATATAATATATGAGTAGAGGATATACGTGAGTTCGGTACAAGTTTAATTAGCGGCGGCTTAACCTTTGTCGACCGACGATAAAAAAAAAAAAATAATAAGAATACACGCGTTCACAAACAGTCTTCCGTAATTAATACTACACATAATAATATGTTCATGTATACATATATTGTAGACAATCACGCATAGATACCGCATGTATGTCTAATATGTTTTATCTTATTTCTTGCACGATTGCGAATACCCGACTATGTCTATATATTATACACTTATTTATATACAATATATTCTACGACTGCTAATAGTCCGTTTATCTGTATTATTTTTATTATATTATTATTATCGATTTTCCTGTATACGTTATACTTTATAAATACTAATATACATATTATATACATAGGTATATATGGCATGTGTACACATTATTATGTAAACGAAATACGAATCCATGTCGTTGGCGCCACAACGCGGTCACATTATTGTACAAGTTATTTTATCATTTTGGTGAACGGATAAATTCTGTAGCATTCCATCCGAGACAAAAATATAAATAATGATTTTCACAAAACTATATTAGTAATGTTATAAGCTTGTAGAAACACACGACGTTGAGGGGAAAATGAGGGAGGGCCCAACGAGGGGATTCTCCACGATCTTGGCGCCGCGGCCGTTACACGGGTCGCACAATATCCGATATCTTCTGTCGGTCAAGTAGTCCGGCTTTGCTCTCTATTGTTGTCGTTTGAGATATATCAGTTTATATCTGTATATATATATTCAATGTGTGTAGTGTATTATATTATACAAAGGACATCACCGACCCGGCTCAGTGCGGGGGGTTTTCGCGGTAATCCGTCGTCCTTTTCCTTCTCTCCTCGAGCGCATTGTTTCAAATCCTGCAGCACCGTTGGATGATTATCAATCCGATTTATATACATATATATTATATATATATATATATATATATATAACATTATAACTTATACTAGAGGATCAAGCGGCGGCACGACCGCCACGCTAAGTGCCTCGGTTTAAGATTTCAAAACGCGCAAAGCCCATAAGTATAGTAATTATTTTTATAACGTATGGCGAGCATGAATTCTTATAAATAACTAATATGTAAAGTGTGTTGTGCAAGTATGACTCGTTGTCCTCGGCGATAATGTTTATACATAT